TATACATAAAACTAACTTGGTGTTAGTCGGTGGTTACTTGTACGATGCGTTAAAACTCACAAGTAAGGAACTAAAAGTAAGGAACATTTAGGAGAAATTCTTAAAGCAGTAATATTTGCTTAAGAGTAACACTACAAATTATAACATAGAGCAAAGATTGATAGAGAGAAAATTATTCAATAACAGAGAATCTTTAACCAAAACCTTACGAAAAAGGACGCTTAAGTACCGTACCGTACATAGGGTTGGCAGATCCACTTCCAATAAGCCCGAAGCTCAGCAGTGTACCTTTTATGTAAATGTGCGTGTTAAGGTTCCTCGAACTTGACGTTGGAACGTGTCTGACGGTCAACGATACAGAAAGATTTGTATTACTTTTGTGTAGTTCCCTTTTATCCTTAAAACAGATTAACCTAGCCCCCGCACATGCAAGAATGGAGAAGGGGGCCTTGGTTGCAACCAGATTGCAATGACTGTGGTTAAATACTGACTGAATTTAAAAGGTAAAATAATACTTATTGCCTTGGGTGGGAAACGAACACACGACTTCTTGCTTAACTGCTGACTGATTGGTTATAACCTTTATTTATCTTTTATAAAATGATCACCTAATATTGGCCATACGCCAATAAAAAGCCATTTAAAGTTCATTAATCTCATTTTGGGCTAAGATATGTTTGAAGATATTATTCAGACATACTCGTACAATACTTATAGGTATAAATGTGCTTTAAGTATTGTATATCTGACTTTTATCTTAAAATTACATGTTTCCAGCCTTTTACTACCTGTACGTGATTCGTTTGATGTTGCGAAAAAGCCGGCATATAATACGTTAATGCACTCAACATGAATCAAATAAATAATATAATACAGTAATATCCATTGTGAGATCAACCAAACCTGACGTGCTTTTAATAAAATATTTGATGTCCATATTCGTAACCTAAATATTTAATTTGTTGACGAATGTATGAGATAAATATAATAACTAATTCCTTTTATCTAAAGAGTAGGATTTTCAATCATAATGATCGCCTGGTTATGTTTGATACATTATCAATGAACTTTTGAATGTTTTTTTTTTATTCCAGTACGATTTGAACTATTATTTATTTATTCTTATCTTACCACGAAAATAAGGTTTTATGTAACTTGTATTTTTTTTTCACCGGATAGTAAGTGTTTGGTGCCGATCATGTACACCTGGGTCTCTAGTCACATGTGTATGGCCCGCCTTTAAGTGTCCCGTCAATAAGGGAGGGTTGAATATCCGGTAATCTCACTTATTCGGTGAAATGCAACGAAATAATTCTGAACAATACTAAAAAAATCTCTTCTATACTAATATTACATGTCTTATAAAAGAGAAAAAAGACTATAAAAAGGTAAAGTTTGTGAGTTTCTATGTTCGGGGTAATCTTCGGCACTACAGCACGGATTTCGAAAATTCTTTCACACTTACACACACAAGATCGCTAGTCAGGTATAAAATTTAAAAACACAAAAGTATGGTGAAGGATTAAGAATACGAAGTGTCACCACCTTTATTCATCCCGAGGGTGTCGTAAGAGCTGACTAAGGGAGCAAACTACGCAGGACAACATCACTGCAAATAGAAGAATAACTTGACACAAGCCCTATACCAACCCGTCCCGGCCAGCGTGGCATAGTAGGCCAAAACCTTCTTTCTAACGAGCGGCCGCCAGTGGACTACTAAAGGCTGTTCATATGCATGCAATACCTATATCTAAGAAGTAGAGATAAATTATATCAATAATCTGGTTTGCGACCGATAGGTAGTCTTGTCATTCATTTTATATTCCAATATATACTGTACAAGGATCAAGTTCAAGACTCGCCAGACCGAGGGACCCGCACCGTTAGTCTTGTGTAACTGCTATTATACACTGAAACTGTGTCGGTCCCTGCATATTTATTGCAATAACCTACCGTAGTATAGAGAATATTGTAAAGTGTAACACAAAGCGGTTATATTGTTACAATCGATATTGTTTTATTGATTGCTAAAGCGAAAGCAAATACAAGTTGTTTTGTGGGCATTCTTATGAAATTTTAACACGTTTAAGCAAACTTTGTCAGTCCACACTTTAGGTCGCATAAAGCCTTTCAACGCAAATTTTTAAAATGCCTTTGTACGTTCCGTTAGTAATTAAACATAATCTATTGTTAATTATCAACCACTTGTAATGAATTTTATATCATACAAGTCCATAAGTTATGTAACTAACCATAGTACATGTTACTCAAAAATAGACGATATCATATTATGTATGGTTATTTAAATTGAAGCTAGTCGCTTTCCATCAGGTTACTCGTCTGCCCCCTGTTCCATATAAAATAAAAACAAAAAGTCCAACAGCAATATCATTGGGCTGTAAACCTGCTTTTTAATCTCTGCGAACTGCATCTAGTTTTTGTTTCGAACATTTATGCAAAGAAACATGTTAAAAGGAGGGATTATTGAGAACAGATAGTAATGACAGTAACCATTGTAGTAAGACTCTTCTCCGTCTGATAAAATGCTACCTTATTTTTAAAAAGACAACTCCCGCACTATTAATATATTCTGTGTCGCGGGGGACTCTACTTACAAACTTGCAACATACACAAATATCACCCAGACTTAGGACTACTATCGTAAATGCGTTATTCCAGTAAACGTATTTATATCAAGAAATACTAGATAGAATGAAATGACAATACTACGTTAATCAAAATGGTTTCTTTCTTTCTTTTAAAAAGACAACTTCCGCACTAGTAATATATCCTGTGTCGCGGGGGACTTTACAAGCATACATGAAACGAACACAAAGAACACCCAGACTCAGAACAATAATTTGTGGATCACACAGAGTGATGTCCCATGTGGAGATCAAACCCACAAAACTTGAGCAGTAGAAAGTGGCGAGGTAACGCTTAAACCACTACGCTGATTATTTATTTATTGATACATCATGCACATTTCGTGCATTAGCGGACTTAATGCCTAAGGCATTCTCTACCAGTCAACTGTTGGGTGATGCAGAGAGAACAGGAAGTAGTTGCATTATGGTTACAGTTAATTTTAGACGGCTTTTAGATATATGTATACTTTATAATAAATCATATAATATATACACATGTACAAACCTGTCCTATACTACGCCTATACATCATAATATTGCCCATAAGTACATACATAATAATACATAAATATACTATAAAAGTAAATAAATACATACTCAAATAGATACTGATAACAATTTTATATTATGCTATGTGTGCAGTCAAATGATAGTTGATAATAAATAACTCATATATGTAGGTACATATGATTCAAACAGTATATTTCTAATCCGTTTGAATAGCATTCAAAAATGTTTTATATTTTAAAGTAGAAGAACAACTTTTAGCTATGTTTTCGATAGTTATGTTAATTATGTAGGTTATTGTATAAATATATCCAATTACTACCTATTGCCCGCGTGGATGTCGGTTTTTGTAGTAAATAGCCTATGTCCTTTCTCAAGAATCAAACTATCTCCGTAACAAATTTTATTTAAGTCGGTGCAGCGGTTATTGATTCCCCATAAAAACTTCAACCCCCTTAAAGGATAATCGCTGGGTCAAAAAACTATCCTATGCCCTTTTCCCCGGACTAAAACTATCAATTTACTAACTTTCATTTAAATCAGTTTGGCGGTTTAAGCGTGAAGAGGCCGAGAGACAGACAGACAGATACACAGAGAGACAGAGACACACTTCCACCTGATAATATTAGTATGGATTTCATTTCATTCATCACGTGGAGGATCCTCTTCATCATCATCGTCAACAGCCTTAGTCCACTGCTAGACATGATCCTCTCCTTAGAAAGGAGGTTTTGGCCTACTACGCTGGCCAGACGGGGTGGTATATGGTTTGTGTTAAGCAGTGCCGTTGTTCTGCGTAGTTTGCTTAGTCGGCTCTTACGACACCCGCGGTATGAATAGGGGTGGTGACACTCTGTATTCTTAATCCGTCACCACACGGACGCAAGAGGATCCTCCTATTGCGTCAACCTCATTGCGATTACCATGAGTAGTAAGAGAGTTTTATCAAAATGAATTCATCTTTTACGAAACGTAGATTTCAAATCCGATGCCACGTGTACGTACACGGAAGATATTAAACGGGGCGCAGGTGAGAATAACTTACTCGCTCCACCCCTAAAACACTATTACTGGACCCTTCATCTCATATAAGTTGCCTTGCAAAATAACGTCCGTTTCTTATTACCGACACCTGAGCAAAATGTCTTAAAAAAATCACAGAATATTACACTACTATACTATTCGATAATCATAACATAAGATCTTAATTTTTTTGTGAATCGACTTCAAAAAAGAGGATGATTTTATTTCGAATTGCAGCCTTATCTTGATATTTCAAACAACATCTTTAAAAAACTTTCAATCATCTTATTCCATTAATTATTTGCCGGATTCTCTCAACGCATCTCATTTAGAAGTATTTAATATTATTTAACGGGAATTAACGCGATCTCTCGACGTGGTCACAGTCAGCCTGTGACCACGGCCGGTGCAACCTGGTCGAAACGTCAGGCAAACCAGAGGTATGTAATACCCTAAATAGTTAAATAATATTAATTATCATGGAACGCGAAAGTTTAAAAGTCATTTAGAAGTACTATGAGAAAGTATTTGCAGGTTATAAACATTCGAACACACATACATACTTTTGTCCCTTTTCACGAAATCACTCTCACAGATTGCGGAAAAACTAAAGATAAGATGTTGATGACTCCTACAGACTGCAGGAAAACTAGAAGAAAGACGTTGATGACTTTTACAGTTTGCAGGAAAACTAAAGGAAAGATGTTGATGACTCCTACAGATTCCAGGAAAACTAGAGAAAAATGTTGATGACTTCAACAAATTACAGGAAAGATATTGATGTTGATGACTCCTACAGATTGCAGGAAAACTAGAGGAAAGATGTTGATGACTCCTACAGTTTGCAGGAAAACTAGAGGAAAGATGTTGATGACTCCTACAGATTTCAGGAAAACTAGAGGAAAGATGTTGATGACTCCTACAGACTGCAGGAAAACTAGAAGAAAGACGTTGATGACTTTTACAGTTTGCAGGAAAACTAAAGGAAAGATGTTGATGACTCCTACAGATTCCAGGAAAACTAGAGGAAAGATATTGATGTTTATGACTCCTACAGATTGCAGGAAAACTAGAGGAAAGATGTTGATGACTCCTACAGATTTCAGGAAAACTAGAAGAAAGACGTTGATGACTTTTACAGTTTGCAGGAAAACTAAAGGAAAGATGTTGATGACTCCTACAGATTGCAGGAAAACTAGAGGAAAGATGTTGATGACTCCTACAGACTGCAGGAAAACTAGAAGAAAGACGTTGATGACTTTTACAGTTTGCAGGAAAACTAAAGGAAAGATGTTGATGACTTCTAAAAATTACAGGAAAATTAGAGGAAAGATATTGATGTTGATGACTCCTACAGATTGCAGGAAAACTAGAGGAAAGATGTTGATGACTCCTACAGACTGCAGGAAAACTAGAAGAAAGACGTTGATGACTTTTACAGTTTGCAGGAAAACTAAAGGAAAGATGTTGATGACTCCTACAGATTCCAGGAAAACTAGAGGAAAGATATTGATGTTTAACATCTTTCCTATAGTTTTATTATTTTTCCTGCAATCTGTGGGAGTGATTTTGTGAAAAGGGACAAATAGTGTTTCTCATGAAACTGAGAATTGACTAACGAAGGAACGCTATGATAGAGTTAACTGTCACATGGTATCGAACAAAATATTGCATTGCTCATAATTATTAATTAAATTAAACACAATTTCAATTAAAAATGAATATTCTTCATCATGAAAAATCATTTGCATTTCTCAGGATATGTCATTCATGTTGCCATGTTTATTATGCTTATTGCAAAGTTGTAACGAATGTAATGCTCGCTCGGTTTTCGTTGTGTAAGTAACAATTGCAAAATGTGTCACTTAGTATAAACTATGAGTTAGTGTTGGGACAATATGTCAATGTAATTTGGAAGTAGTCGGAGACGTCCGAACACCTACAACATTAAATATCGACGAAGCTACATCGGGCGAGCATGAAATATTCAGCGGCGAGCGCACGACGGCGACCCCCCCGTTCCGCTCCTCCGGCTCCCTCCCGGCTATTCATTGCTCTCTCGAGCCTTGAATTCTGGAGTGGTGAATCTAAAAAGCGATGTGTAGTCAGGTGTGGTGCTACTCGATTCGTCTCCGAATATTTTATGTTGTCGAAACTCGTGATCGTCGCTCGACACCACCGAGTAATTCTTACGACTTACTGGCATGTAGTAAGTGGCTGCTGTAATTTATAGTTTACAAAGGGTTGGCCGGTATTGATAAATAACCTTTAGTAGAACTGGTACTGCGAAATATATGTTGCGTTGAAAAAATGATTTCGCTGGAACCAACGACATCTTGGTCAAAAGCCATTACAAATTCTTCTTCAACTCGCCTTGAGTTTTTTCCTCTTTTTATTACGGATTTAGTCCCGAAGAGGAAGAGGATTATCATTTTATCTTGAGGGTAAATGAATTTAAATATCACTTCCCGGACATATAAATTCATTGTCAATTTTCGAATGAGCGGAGACCACGTGTCGTCAACTTTAGCTCCAACTTTTCCCATTATTAAATTTTCAGAAGTAGAAGGGAGGTTCGATAATCATCATTGTAAAGAAACTTCGCAGAAACGTGTTTGGCGTTAAAACCTTAGTGGAATTTTGTTACGGCAAATCTAATAGAGGACGATTTCCTGTGAGTCAGTGTGTCAGGGTGCACAAACATGATTAGGGGCGAACGAGGGGAGCATAATTGTAGCTATTGGCCTAATTTGGTCCACATTAGTTAACGCACACCACACTTTTGAGACGCGTAATAATATTACTCTTTTGTTGGATATTATGATTTAGTTTGAAAAAGAAAAAATATGAATCTAAGAACTGTTCAAAACTTAATGATAATTTAATTACATTTTGTGTGTGATGTCACACGAGTAAATCAAAGAAAAGTAGAATGCTTCATGGTATTTATTGCATATGAAAATTATCAGATGTAAGCATGTAAAGAAAAAAATAATAAACACGAAGAAACTGGTGCTCTAGTAATCCCGAGATTAAAATATTTATTTAAAAGTTGTACAAAAAATCTCAGAATATTTTATTTTCAATGAAACATTGTACGCAAACCTTCTTTCTAAGGAGAGGCCTATGTCCAGCAGTGGACTATTAAAGGCTGTTGATGTGATGTGATGTACGCATTGTGCAAGTGTTATGAGAGCTTGTCATTGTGTGTTTTTTCTAACTTTAATTTAAAAAAAAAAGATTTTGATTCTCAAAAGAGATATTTCTTCTTTTTCTTTGAGACATGTCGGCTTTGTCATTTGTGGAACTGTGTCAATTTGTCAATTTACCTAACATCAAAAAAGTAACTGGAAAATTTCAGTCCAGATTAAATTACTTTCTTTTGCTAAAGGTTTCAATCAGCACGTAGAAGAGTTTAGAGGATACATTCAAGATTTCAACAGCATCATTAAGATCCAATAGAACCTTTCATTATAGAAGGGAGAAACTAGTTCAAGGTCAAAGAGGGATGTATGGCCGATGATAGGAAGGAACAGACGAAAGCTAATAGTTATGGAGGAGAACGGAGTGAAGAGGCTTTGAAGTGAGTGTTACGGGTCAAGAGAGGTAATTGATATTGTATGCAGCATATTGGACCCTTTAACATGTTCGAAACATTGTGTGTTGCACGGGGATGATTGGCTCAATCTATACGTGTATATATATATAATATAACAGTAAAACAAGTCATGACGGCTTCTTTTATCCTCTGCTTCTTAGCCGATTTTTTGTTTATCCGTCTTCAGTGTGATCAATAAAAAGTTTTACAGGCAATTTTTTGCCAACCATTTATAAATTCCATCATCAGTTCTTACAGAAAAATTTATTACTTGCTTTTTGTTGTTGTTTCGTTTCTTGTAATCGTAGTAAATGGATTCACTCTAAAGTTTATATCAATAATTTAGTAATTGTGGAAGGGACACTGTAAATTTTCCTTTCGTCAAAAAATCACGGTAAATACACGGAATACCGTATTTTGTAAAGTGTGTAAGCCTTTTTTTTTAATTGTCAGGAAAATGCCACATTGAAGTGTTGAAGTTTAATCAAAAATCGCCTAGGCTCCACATACTTTTCTGTCTAGGTTTTTTTTATTAATTGATCTGTCGACCTTAAATTGTACTTACCTGATAAATAACATTGGCCGTTTATAACTAATAATGTAGATTTTATATTTGTGTGTTGTGTTAATGAAACAATTTACTTCTGACGACAGATATACCCGCAGTCAAGGGTAAAAGTTGGGTTTTATAAGTGCTTGTGGGAGCACCTGCGCCTTAGTAGCAAAAGTCACCGAGTTATGGAATTGCTTATCGGAACACGTTTAATCGTTAAAGTTTTCCAGTTATTCTTTGTGCGTGCTCTATCTCGACTTCTCTCACATTCAGTGGGCTTAATAAATATCCCAACTTTTTAATAAAATTTATGTAAATAGTCCTCCTATAGGCGATTGCAAAATCAATTTAATTATAAGATTGATAACAATAACACAATATAAATAAGGATGATAATGAAAAAAACAATAGTGATGACACGAAAACTCCATTTAGTAATAGTAATACGAAGAACAAAATGATAAATTAAATGTGAAGTAATCTTGCAGATAGGAAGAGAATTAAATCAGTACGATGAAAGAGATGGCAATAAGCGTTGGAGATTGGTGGTAGAAAAGTTGTCGGTACCTATTTTTTTTTACTTAATAAGGGGGCAAACGAGCAGACGGGTCACCTGATGGTAAGCAACCACCGCCTTCCATGGACAAATGCAACTCAAAAGTCACAACTGCGTTGCTGCCCTTGGAGTCCCTTTCGCTTGAGTCAGCGGGCTCCGGTAACCTCACTCACTCAGTGAAAGGTAATGAAAGAATTGCTTAACACCCGTTTTATGTGGGGCCGTGGTATCATTCCGGTCGAGCCGGCATATTCGTGCCAAGCATGAATTAATTAATGCAGCACCTTTACTATATAAAACTAAATTCTTGAAGATAAATCACTAGTTGATACAGGATGGCATGTGTTTTGGTTAATTGGAAATTATTTTGCTTAACGCCGGTTTTTAGTGACCCCCTGGTATCACCACGGTTGAGCAGGCCCATTTGTGTCAAAGCATGTCTCTGCCACTGGCCAGATACTTTTAGCTTTGACTAGTTGGATTCCACCTTATCATCATCAATCATCATCAACCGCCAGCCTTTAGTAGCCCACTGCCCGACATAAGTCTTTCCTTAGAAAGGAAGTTTGGAAGGACCACGCTGAACAGACGGGTTGGTATAGGTTTTGTTTCAAGTTTTCCTTCTCTTTGCAGTGCTGTTCTCCTGCGTAATTTGCTCCCTAAGTCAGCTCTTACGATACCCACGGGATAAGTAGTTATGGTGACACTCCGTATTCTTAATCCGTCACCACACGGACAATTACGCCTTAATTCGCTTGAATAATATGTTTCTAAAAAAAAAAACAATTAACGATTTATGAAAAATAAAATTGTCAAGAGAATATATGACAAAATTAATAATCAACTGAAAATAATTTAATATGATAACGTTATTTTTTTCGACCTTTGTAAACAAAAATGCCTTTATTCGAAATCTCAAACTAATCGAAATGTTTGTAGTGGTACCCGTATATCGGCTGAAGCGCTTTCGGTGTTAAATTAGGCTGTATACGAAAGCTTCAAAGCGTTGGAGCAGTGCATGTGTAAACAGTGCCGTTGTGGAAACACAGTTTAGTGAAAGGCTCTGGGTCTGGATGTCTATTCTAAATAGTTTTACACATTCATAGATCCACTGCTAGTGTATTGGATATTGAAATCATAACATTGCTTACTAGCGACATATCATTAAGTGTCTCAATTCTGGATGAATAAACAATATGAACAAGAATTTTAGCAATCGGGTAGGGTCGTTAGATCTATTCGAATGCTTTTTAAATTTCTCTAAAATCTTTTGTCTTCTTCAACTTAAACCACGACGTCGATCTTGCAATAACTGATGAAGATCCAATTCAAACGTACGCATATTAATTCTATTTGACACGCTCTGTAGTCTAAGTAGTTTCGAAGATTTTGGGAGGCGATGAGATTGGGGGATTTGGGAGGTGTCGTTAGATTTGTCTTAATTTTGAGTGTATTTGAAAATTATAAAAAATTGAAATGGTCAGTTAGTAAACTTTAATATATCTATCTCTATACATTTGCGTACAGTCGGCTTTTTTTCAAAATTTGCTATTGCAATAAATTAAATTAGCTTGTTAATATTATACCTATTACATAACTGTTTGCTATATGTATTTTATGCTGTCACAGCTCTTCCTCCGAGCCTTTTTCCTAAACTCGATTTGGGGTAGTCTTTTAAGTCTATTACGATACGACTAAAATTTTATTTTTCATGTGGTGCGACTGCCATACATCCACAACCCAAACCGCAGTCGCAATTTTTAGGGCTCCAAGTACCCGTAACGATTGCCACAGATGTTCATATAGCAACTGGGATCGACGGCTTAACGTGCTCTCCGAGGCATGACTCTATCGACTTAAATTAGAAT